TACCAAAAACTATCAAACCTAGCATTAGTTCAGAGCATCTATGTACCAAGTTTCATCAAAATCCAATGAGTGGTTGTTTAGATATCAGTGGAACAGTCATGGAACCACTAAAAAATAGCTAATTATCATGCAAATTAGGTAATTAATATGCACGGATTTTTACCAAAAATTAATCAATTCTGCGCATATGTTCAGAGCATCTATGTACCAAGTTTCATCAAAATCCAATGAGTGGTTCTTTAGATATCAGTGGAACAGTCATAGAACAGCTAAAAATTAGCTAATTATCATGCAAATTAGGTAATTAACGAGCATGGATTTTTACCAAAACCTAATCAAATCTGCGCATTGGCCCAGAGCATCTATGCACCAAGTTTCATCAAAAACCGATGTATGGTTCTTGAGATAGCAGTGGAACAGTCGGACACACATACACACACACACACATACACACATACACACATACACACATACACACACACATACAGACACACTAACTGCAAAGACTCCCATTTTGTGCTTCGCACATGGGAGTCAAAAATAAAGTATTTTAAAGTAACAAGTAAAATGTCAATGCTCTAAGCTTGCATATTATATTTGACACTATGAGAGATGCTACAATTATTTATGCTGATTTCAACCATCATGAAGGGAATTGACATTTTAGAGCATTCATGAAAACAAAAGTCAGATTACACGTTACATAAGATGGGAGTTTTTACAAGGGAATATGAAAGCTAGCTGGTGTTTTTCAAGATAACTGGATATTTTGTGAATCATAACTGTTCCATACCTAATCCAGCAGGATGGGTCATTGAAAAAAATAGGACATGATGATTTAATGGAATTCAAGAAGACAAAATAGATTTTTCACCAAACATTACATTTCAGCAACGTACATGTTTGTAAACACCTGGATAGAATGTGCGACAGATGGAAAACTTATACAAAGCAGTTCATGTATCCCAATGTAATTTTCATGATTTGCTGTGACTAATAGAATTTGAGATTATCTATCACTCAGAATGAAATGTTTTCAATAAATAAGAATAGAACAAAATATTTCTGGTTATCAAAAAAAGCACCAATGACACCTGTGCACATCACAATTTTGGAAATCAAGTTGACCAGAAAACTTTCTTTTTTTTAGGTCTATCACAAGAGATGGTCACCACATATATATATAGTGTGTGGAAATACATGAATGTAATTTGTTACCTAATCTGATTCAAAATTAAAATAAAATAAAAATAAAATTACCATACAAATCAGTTGGTTCAATTCCGAAATGGACAGACATTTGTCATATTTTACGTTGTATAAAACCATGGCAAAAGATGGGTATTTGGTTGTATCAGCCTGAGCTATGATGTCAAACTTAATTGGCCATAGAACGCTATAGAGATACACAATCCACTGACCTGTTGACAAAAAAATAATAATATGGATTAAAACAAAGCATTAATAGATCACCACATGACATTGCTGTTGTTTAAGTGAATACATGTGTACAAAACTGAAATGAATCAGGCCAAATGAACAATGCAAGTCAATAAGTGTACAGACCAAATAAACAATGCAAGTAAATAAGTGTACTGGCCAAATGAACAATGCAGGCCAATATGTGTACAGGCTAAATGAACAATGCAAGTCAATATGTGTACTGGCTAAATGAACAATGCAGGTCAATATGTGTACTGGCCAAATGAACAATGCAGGTCAATATGTGTACTGGCCAAATGAACAATGCAGGCCAATATGTATACAAGCTAAATGAACAATGCAAGTCAATATGTGCACTGGCCAAATGAACAATGCAGGTCAATATGTGTACAGACTAAATGAACAATGCAAGTCAATATGTGTACAGGCTAAACGAACAATGCAGATCAATATGTGTACAGACTAAATGAACAATGCAAGTCAATATGTGTACAGGTTAAATGAACAATGCAAGTCAATATGTGTACTGGCCAAATGAACAATGCAGATCAATATGTGTACAGACTAAATGAACAATGCAAGTCAATATATGTACAGACTAAATGAACAATGCAAGTCAATATGTGTACAGGCTAAATGAAAAATGCAGGTCAATATGTGTATAGGCCAAATGAACAATGCAAGTCAATATGTGTACAGGCCAAATGAACAATGCAAGTCAATATGTGCACAGGCCAAATGAACAATGCAAGTCAATAAGTGTACAGACCAAATAAACAATGCAAGTAAATAAGTGTACTGGCCAAATGAACAATGCAGGCCAATATGTGTACAGGCTAAATGAACAATGCAAGTCAATATGTGTACTGGCCAAATGAACAATGCAGGTCAATATGTGTACTGGCCAAATGAACAATGCAGGTCAATATGTGTACTGGCCAAATGAACAATGCAGGCCAATATGTGTACAGGCTAAATGAACAATGCAAGTCAATATGTGTACTGGCCAAATGAACAATGCAGGTCAATATGTGTACAGACTAAATGA